TTAATTTTTATTTTTTAATTCAAATTTATAAAAAAAATATATTTAATATACATTTAAATTTAACCTTTGATAACCTAATAACCACCATTTTAAGAGTGTGGTTGAACATAATGACCTTACTACTATTCTCAAATTTACACTATTTTCCCTGAAAATTCCCCCCATTTTCAAAAAAAAAATACATTTAACATATACTCTAAATAAATCTTTATTATTATTATCATTAACTATAACCGTACCTTACAATTTCAAATTGGAGTATCTCTTAAAACTAAGCCATTAAATGTTCCAACTTGTTATTCTGTCTACAGTACCCATAATATAAAATCCGCCACCTACATGGGCGGGAGCCGGGGGGAGAAATAATTCTAGCTACATTTCAAAACTTGACACAAAAAGAAAGAAAGAAAAAAAAAAAAAACAAATACAGAAATACTAATGGTATATTGATTTAATTTTTCTCTTTACCCAGAAAAAAAGCTGAAAAGTTGTCTTTGAGCTCCCACATGCCATCCTTCTCTTTTTTATACTTTTCAATTGCAAATGTAATTATGTAGACCGTAGAGAAGCAGCCAAGAAATATTAAACACTCCCCATATTGTCTGTTGCTACTTCCTCTCTCATTTTTCTGCTCACATTCCAAAGATTTTCTTGCAGAGGGTTTATTTCATTTCATTGATTTTTTTATTCAATCCTAAATCTGAACTGAACCCATCTTCCCAACTTTCCATCTGGGTTCTGTTCTTCATGACTGTTTCTGTTTTCCTGTCAAAGGTACCTGATCTGGTCTGGGTCTCATTCCCTCATTCTAGTTTTTTTTATTTTATTTTTCTTGTACTGTTTCTGTTTTTTGGGATAAATTTTGGGTTGTAGTTATTTGAATTTAAATTATTTAGAGGTTTACCTAACTTCGAAGTTTAGGATCTTTTTGTTACTGGGTATTCTGCTTTCTTCATTTCTGGGTACTCTTCCCTGGCTACTGTTACACTGATTGTGATTTTGGAGTTCTTGGAAGATTTTAAGTTGGTTACATCAAATGGGTACTTCTGATTTTGTGATTCAAGTATTGGTAAATGCTGATGTCAGAGCTTATTGGTGTTTTGAGCTACCTTTCAATGGTATTTGAACTACAAGTACCTTCTTTTGGGGATTCAAGTATTTGAGAATGGGTTTCTTTTGCCCTTTCTTCTCTTTTACTTTTTAAAAATACGTTCTGGTCCTCCAAAAGCGTTGTATTCTTCATCTGTCGCCGTAGTTGGACAGTTAGTGGGTTGGATTTGAAGCAAAGCTGAGAAAATGATAAGCCAAGTCATGTTATTCAATGTCCAAAATTGTTTAATGTTATGCTTTATAAAGGGGTTTGGTTAGAGGCTTAGAGCAGTAGAGTTTGTCATTATAAACTAGCTTATGTTTGGTTTCTTGCAACATCGAGAGGATTTATGGGAAATATCTTTTTAACAATTATATGCAACTTGTGCAGATGATGGAGCTTTGATGCTTTAATTGGAGTTGGACGACTGGATTCCTCAATGGAAAAACGTAAATGGTCGTGGAAGAGAAGGTCCTCTGAGAGGAGCCCTGGTGAAACTGGTGAAACTGTTGAAACCGATAGTTCTGGATCGGTATCTTCACATTCTGAGAGATATTCTGATGATCAGGTTGGTCCCCTGACCCCCTTTTTTTTATTCTGTTATGTGTCTAACAGAAATTTAAAACGATATTGCTCTTCTTTTTTTCATTTTTTCCCCTTTTCTTTTGTAATTTGTTTGTTGTGGGAAATGTTTGTGATCTTAGGAAAATTTTACCTCCCGGGCTGAAATAGTTCTGATAAGGAAGGAAATTTAGGAGTACATCATTTTCTTTTCTTCCCATTTCAGAAATCTTGTTACCAATCTTAGGTAAAACATTCAGTTGTTGACTTCTTGTACTGGTTTCCTTGCTTCTAATATTTTTCTCCTCCTGACTAGTGGCCTTTAAAACAATTTGATGCAATGGAGTTTTGAGATCCTTTTATGTGATGTTATATGCAAGGTGGCTGTCCTTTAATTAATTTCTCTTCTTTTTACCTGAATCCAAAATTTTGACCTTTCTTATCTGAGATTTGTTTTTCCTGATTTGATTTCATATCAGAATTCTGTCTGAAATTTATGTTTGCATTCCACAGTTCTCTAGGCATTTAGAGTTGCACCTCCCACTTCTCATCAAACTTAAAGTCTATGGCACCTTTTTCAACCCCGCCATCACCTCCCTATATAGAGCCCCACAAAAGAAAACTGGTGTGTGCCTGTGGCTGGCGGGTGAGTGTGGGGGTGTGGGGATTATTGTTATTGACCATTATTTTTCTTGCCTGTTTGTTCTTTATGCTTTCAACATTGAGAGTTAAAATTCTGTATGGGGAGATAAAATAGGTGGGATAATGAAATTACTAGTTTGCCTCCCATCTGTGGTTGGTAAAAACTTAACAGAGAGCTGCCTTGGCTCCAGTAATGACTAGACATGTGGATGCAGTGTAGCGCTTGCTATATTCCAACTAAAATCTGCATGCTTAAGTTCTGTGATGGAGTGTGTTCATAAATGGTAATGGCTAAATTACTGATGCAGAAGTATGGTTTACTATTTGGAAAAAGCAGGTATAAGATGGCCCGATCTCATTGGAATATGCTGTCTTCTGATAAGATTATATTTTCTAGGATGCTTGCATAAGTTAACAATAATGCTCCTTTGAAATGGGAAAGTTTCTCAATGAGACAAAGATGATTAAAATAATCTATTTAGGTCTTATTATGTGTCTCTTTTTCTTAGAGAATCAGGCCACTGGTTGGCTTACCGCATGCTGTTGGTTGGTAAGCACCATGGCAATAGCCTATGGGTTGGGTTTGTTTTAAACTCTGGGTTTCTTCTTTTACTTCTTTTTTTCTTGTGTTAAAAGGTTTCTTGTGGTTGCTTTCCATGAAGGTAAAATTATATCATTGCTCATTTCTAATCTATTCATTCATAGATTGGTTTTCCTTCTATTCATTTTTTAATCGTTGAAGCAGGAGGCTTTCAAGACATCTCCTAATAATAACATTCAATCTCCTGAAGTCTCCTCAATGGCTTCAGCAAACTGTGAAGATGTTAATGGTAGTGTTAAGAGCCTGACGGAGAAATTATCAGCTGCTTTGGTAAATATCAGTGCCAAAGAAGACTTGGTGAAGCAACATGCCAAAGTTGCTGAAGAAGCTATTGCAGGTCTGACCTATGTACAGATATATTTGGAGAATATGTTCTCTGCATTTTTCTCTTTCATTTTCCTCCTTTCATAATTGCCTTTGGTTAATAATATATCCTTGAATTTCTTATCTTAGGTTGGGAAAAGGCTGAAAATGAGGTGGAGGTATTAAAAAAAAAACTTGATGCTGCAACCCAGAAAAACTCAGCACTAGAAGATCGGGTGAGTCATCTTGATGGAGCTCTGAAGGAATGTGTCAGACAACTAAGACAAGCAAGAGAGGAGCAGGAGCAGAAGATCCGTGATGCTATCACAAAAACAACACGCGAATGGGAAACTACCAGGTTTGAACTTGAAAGCAAACTTCTTGAGCTCCAGGACAAAGCTGAATCTGTTAAGTCTGAGCCTCCAAGTCACTCTGGTCCTGATGCCTGCGATAAGATTGAAGCTTTAGAGAGAGAAAATTCAGCCCTCAAGATTGAGCTCCTATCTCAATTGGAGGAGTTAGAAATTAGAACAATTGAAAGGGACTTGAGCAACCAGGCAGCTGAAACAGCTAGTAAACAACATTTGGAGAGCATAAAGAAGATGGCAAGGCTTGAGGTAGAGTGTCGAAGACTTAAAGCAATAGCTTCTAGATCTTCTGTTAATGAGCATAGAACCACTTCTGCCTCCTCAATATACGTTGGATCTCTAATGGATAGTCAATCAGACAGCAGAGAACAACTTAAGGCAGTGGATATTGGTACCCACAAAATGAGTTGCTCAGATTCCTGGGCATCAGCCCTAATTGCTGAACTGGATCAATTTAAAAAGGAAAAGGTCAATGATAGAAGTCTCCCTGCCTCTTCTATTGAGATCACTCTGATGGATGATTTTCTTGAGATGGAGCGACTTGCTGCACTCCATGAGACCAAGAGTGAAAATCAATGTGTTGAATCAGAAACTATTTCCAGACAGTCTGATGATGTTGAGAGCTCATTGAGAGCTGAGCTTGAAGCCATGGTTCGTCTCACAGCTGAACTTGAAGTGAAGTTGGAGAATATGGGAAGGGAGAATGTTGAACTACAAGAGAAGTTAGAGAGGATGGAAATGGACAAGGTTGAACTAGAGATTGCTCTAACCAAAAGTCAGGAAAGTATTGATGCATCAGAAATACAGTTAAGAGAGACTCAGATGAAGTTGGAAGAGTTGCAAAAGGAGCTGAGTATGGCAAATGAATCAAAGCAGCTTCTTGAGTCCCAACTTATTGGCATGGAAGTGGAGACTCAGACAATGTCTGAAAAGATTTACATGTTAGAAACTGAAGTTGAAAGGGAAAGGGATTTGGCAGGTGAATCAAAGCAGCTTCTTGAGTCTCAACTTGTTAGCATGGAAG